GAATGAATTTGGCTTGGGATGAATCTATATTACTAGTAAAGAAAATGGAAGAGTTAGTTTCATGGTCAAGGGTATGTGTGTTGCTTACTTATACGTAGGGGTAGGGCTGGGCACATATGCGAATGAAGTTGGTTTTGAAGGTGCTTTTCACTTGTGAGTTGTGTATAATTCCATGGATTATCTTCTATTCTATCAGATTTTGAGATTAGTCTTGGCAGAAAAGAACAACAGACACCTTGATGTGTCTAAAATTCCGTAATAGGTTTTCCATCTTGGTCTCTTTATATACATTTTATCTTAGTTCTCAGTTCTTCTTCTTTTTTTTTTTTTTTTTTTGAGTACCAGATTCCCGAGTCTCATACCAACTTAATGAACCCAATCAATATTTTGGTCATCTAAACAAATTTAAAGAAAAATGTGCACTAGGGAAAACTGTCTAGAATCCAGATTCAAGTAGTGCAATGAGCGAAATTTATTTTGTCTCCTAGTACCTATATACTTTTGTTTTCTTGTTGTTTAATTGAATGGGGAAATGCATATAGGTAAGTGGATTGGTTTTTTGTTTCTCCTTTAATGAAATGCATATAGGTAAGTGGATTGCTTTTTGGTTTCTCCTTGAATGAAATGCATATAGGTAAGTGGATTGGTTTTTGTTCCTCCTTTAAGGAAATGCATATAGGTGTAGATGCTTTTATGGTTTAATTGTCTATTTGATGTTTAATGGTATATATATGGTTCAAATGCTTGATTTAGTTATGTGTGGGGTTAGTGTGAGTGATATGCCACATAATTTGGCATGTGATGGGATTCATGGATACTGATTGAATTTTTTTTTCTTCTAATTGTGCAAACACCAAACCTTATTAGAAGTCATAAGGCGGTGACGACTGCACCCCGTTCGCCTCACCCGGCTCATCCGTCAGCTACCATTGCTCCTGCATAAATGAACCACTTGCTAGTTGGTCCTATGGTCTCCCGGGCACCGGCATAATTAACCTCATCAATGGCGCTACCTGTAAGCAACATACGTGGTCACCGTCGCCCCCGCACGCTCGACACACCATCGACATCCATTACTGATGTGTCGGGGTCACATCAAGGTAAAGATTTCCTTGAACTGTAGCTGCTTTGGACCAAAACATGGGCGTAAAGTAGAACCTGCCATTCCAATTTTTCTACGAATCTTTGTTCATAGTGAAAATATTTATTTGTTTTTCATATACAAACAAATAAATATTTTGTTCAAATCTAGAGTTCCTTTTCAATACAAATAACACTGCTTTGGGTTTTGGTAAAATTTTTGTTCAATTTTTCTACTTAATTCCGAGTTTTACTAGTTTAAGTTTGTTCAAAAATTTGACCTCCAACTGCTCTAAGTTCGATCGTTAGTTATTTAGGTAAGTAGAAAGAAAATGTGTAAAGCGGACGTATCATTGTGCTTTTCAAATGCATATGCTTCCTTGAACTAAAAGTAATTGTTGTTTACTTATGCAAATTGCGGAGTTGGATTATATTTACATTTTGTAATAGTGCATACAATGTCGGCAAAAGTACAAACCTTATAAGGAATACCAAATATGAAATATGATAACAATTTGGTTAACTTAGTTTTGTTATTTTCGGTTCAGTTTGTTAAGTTATTTCATTTATGGATTAAACAGTTATTATATATATATTGTTTATTGTTATCATCGTTATGAACCTTTTATTAAACAGTTGTGATCATTCTGTTGGATACTATATATTGTTTATGTTATTTTCAGGTTTTAGGAAATGTTTTAATTATAGGGAGGTTATGCCGAAATTTTAGTAGGATTTGTTATTAGTTTTGAGTTAACATTAATTTTATATTTCTTTGCAGCCAAGAGGAACACCCAGGGACCTTGTCGCCAGTTAAAGACAACGAAGATCACCCGGGTGAACAACGACCGTATCAGTATTGGATACGACAAGCGGCATCAGGCTGCACCAACAGCGGAGTAGCATAGCACATTGGGCCACGACATTGGTCATGTCACTCAGACCTATTGCCTTATGAAATGGAAGTCTTGGAAGGTGATGTCAGACAAGATGAGGACGCAGGTGCGCTCACAGTTGTCGGTAAGTATCCTACCTTTTAGTTGTTTTTCCTTTAAATTTTATATATTTATATTACTTAATGTATGTAATTAATTTGTTACATTATAGACGAACTACAATTTAAAGGACATTAACAACGAGTCATTGCTGTACATCAACAGGCTCTTTCCTGAACGGTACAAACACTGGAAGAGCGACATGGACCAATATTTTCAGACATTTGATGATTCGCAGGTCACTCTTAAGGAGGGTTGCCCGAAGGAGTTTGAGGGTTGGGAGGATAATTGGGTGGGGCTCTGCGGTTATTTTCAGGAGCTTGGCTATGTGGTATTTTTTTTATATTAAGTTTAAAATTATTATATGTTTTTTTACTAATGTTTATTGATTTTTTTTTTATATTTCATTTCAATTTGAACTAATACGTTTATTTTTTGTATAACAGAAGAAGGCAAAAGCTAACAAGAGCAATAGGGACAAGAAGACTCTTCTCCACCATTCCGGTTCGAGGCCCTTCTCATATAGGATGGAGGCGCGGTGGCCGGGTAATAATAAAAGTTTTTTATATTCAATTTTATGTCATTAATATTATTATTTTTTTTCGTACTAACATTTTTCTTCTCTTGTTCTATTCAGGGGGTTCAAATTTCCCGGAGATCGATGTCTTTAGCGACATTTATGTTCGATCCTGGGGATGAGTTGGGCGAGTCCCTTCATGTAATTATTCTTTAATTTTAATTATTATCTTACGCATTCAAGTTTCATCGTTATTATATGAATGTTTTAATTAATATTTTATGTTATATTACACAGACGACGATGATAGAGAAGAGGCAGCTGGTTCTTCAGGAGTTCGCCTCCAACTTCCTCTTAATACTTTGCTCGAGTTTGTGGATCCCCTAGAGGATGCATGTTTCAAATCCTTACGGAGACCTTAGATCAAACTCTCGAGCGAAGGCCAGGGACATATTGTAGGGGGATGGGGAATGCCCGGCGATGGAAACTTAAAGCCCCTTCATCATGGCAGTCAAATAGTCAGGTGACAGCTTTGATAGCAAAGGTGGCCAACCTTAGGACTAAACTCGCCTCGTATAGGAGCCAGATGTCACAGCTTGTACAGGCCCTCAGTCAATTTGGCATTCGTCACCCGGATTGACGTCCCCTATCGACCTCGGAGCCCCTCCAACCCGAGCATGGCCACACCTCTGCCCCTTCGACCTCTACCCATGTCGACAACCTCGAGACTTTGCAGCCGCCTTTGCAAGACGACCACGTAGATTATGTTGCATTATTTTCTTAGATTTTTACTTCCTTACTTTTTAAACATTTTTCTTGTACATAGTACATACATTTGTATTACTTTTTAAATATATTATTTTTCTCTTCATTACATTTCTTAATTGCAATTTAATTTTATTACCGGAAAAAAAAAAGCAATTTATTTTTATTACAAATTTTTTTTAAAAATTAACATAAAATTAAATTTAAAACTTTTTTTTTTTTTTTTTTTGCGCGACGAAATCCTTCGTCCCTCAAAACTCAAGCAACAAACAAGGTTTCGTCGCGCAATAATCAATTGTCGCCGTGCAAAGTTTAGAGAGACGAACAATAGTCATCCCACGTATGTATCCTGGTATTTTGTGCGACGAAAACATTTGTTCCTAAACATTTTGTGCAACGAAGGGTAAACCGTCGTGCTGTGTTTTTGCGACCAATGATTATTTTCGTCGTGCAAAGTCTTTCTTCACGATCTTTGCACGACGGATTTTGTGCGACGAAGTTTATGTCGCGTTGAAGTTTGTGCGACGAAAATGCACTTTGTGCGACCAAGTTTCGTTCGTCGTGCAAATAGTAAAACGTAGTAGTGATTAGTCTCAAAGTATGTTAACAAGTTACATATATTTGAACAAGATGTTTACTGTACTCAATTCTCAAGTCATATAAAGTACGCCAATTGAATAACAGTGGTGAATATGTGAATTGGAAATTCAAACATTATCCACAAGAAGTCCACATATACCGCAACAAAATGGTGTGGTACAACAAAAGAGCATACATATTCTAGAGATCGTCAGAGTTTTGATAATTGAAATCCATGGTCCTGGACATTAATCTTAGGGTGATGCAATCGTGACTGCCGTTTACCTCCTCAACCGTATGCCTTATGGGGTTTCAAATTTACACTCGCAAATTCAGGCCCTTCCACTTATGGTCCATATAACCATATGTCCTAATGCTCAATCAGATTTTTGCGCATGTAGATTTTGTTCACCTTAACAAAAATCAACCTAATAAGCTTGACCTGTAGGTAGTGCGTTGTATCTTTATCGAGTATATATGCTACTGATCAAAAGGGGCTACTAATGTTATCATCCACCAACTAAACGGCACGATACTATCTGACACTTCCAAGTTTGATCAGGAAATTTGTTTAGTTGGATCCTAATCACCAAGCTTTAGCCAATATAAAGAACATTGTTGGCTTTATGTGAAAAAGTTGAGCTTAGAGGAGAAAAGTCAAATTTTCTATTCAGAAGAGTTCAACTCGCACTATTATCTAGTGATATTTCTTTTGAATGAAAAGTCTTGTGTTTAACTCTCGTGAATGAGGGGCCACTTAATACTACGGTCTAGTGGTATTCCTCTTCACTAGTAAGTGAGGGGTCTTAGGTTCGATTCTCGCCAAATACGAATTTAAACCACATCATTATGGTTATTCTATTGTGTGGTTTTGCCAACTCCCCCACCCTATTAACTATCTTTTGTTCAAAAAAAAAAAACTCTCGTGAATGATGTGTTTGATACTAAATTATCATAGTTGACCTATTTTGTGCTTAGCTCAAACTATTAATGTAAAATATTATTACATTAATTAAGAAAAACAGAAAGAAACAAACAAGTAAAATAGTTTTTTTTTTTTTAACTTAAAAATTGAAAACTGAGGAGAAATGGTAATAAATTAAACTTGTCACACGCTTCTTAACTCTGTAACTTTTGTTGCAGAATGGGAGGAGGCCAATGCTCCTATCTACACTAGCACTAAAGTAGTGGTATGAGGTACCTCCGCCTCATCAGAATTACTAGGGCTCCACAAATGTCCGCAGTTGGAAACTATAGCTTGCAAGTCCATAGCGCTGAGAGCAAAACCTTGTACCTTTGTGTGACATTTCACATTTTCCGTCGAGAAAGGAAGGTCGACAAAGGAGAGGCTGCTACTGTGGGATGTTGCCCAACTCAGAAGTTCTTCGGCTCCATAAATATAACCTTTCTGAAGGAATTGCTTCATCTTTCCGATCTGCTGACTTCTGTCAGTAGTCGAGTAAACCCACACAGTGCCTTAAGTAACGAAGAGAATGCTATCAAATGGTTCTCCCATCCGACGGATGATTTTATCCTGAGGGTAGACCACTGGCTTGAGATAGTCACATATCATTTTCAGAACTTTCTCATCCATATTTTTACGCCTTGGTATCTGCATAGTAGCGCTTACAATATTAATAAACTGATCAATAATATGTGCGTGCGTGCGCGTGTGTGTGAACTAAGAAGGCAATGCATGAGGTGCCAAGGGACAATCGTTTGAATGATCATATCATACAAAAGTTCATTTTTCTTGATTAGGCGGCACCTTCTTCTTTTAATTTTATTTGGTTTGATTTCCCTCTTAAGAAAGACTCCCTGCCTATAGATATGTGTGTGTAGAGAGAAAGAGGAGAGACGAGTTTGAGTTTTATCGAGGAACATACTGCCATCATTCGATTCATGAAGAGAAAACGCTTTAGATTTCGCCCGGTACGCCGTGGAAGCAGAGAGAATAGATTCTCGACATCTGCATCTTTGTCTAGTTCAATTGCTTGTTTTATGTTTTTTATGACTTCTTTCTCCAAATGTTGAGGGAGATTATTTTTGAAGGCCCACAATCTTAGACCTTCCTCTATGATCTTCAGCTTCGGTTCTTGCACTTTTTTTTCCTCCTCCCACAGTAGACAATTCTGTTTTCACAATAAAAAGAACATACGTAATTTGGGTCAATAAAACCCTAATTTCACAACTCTAACCCTACCTATGCGTCCCTCAGCGGGAAAAACAATTCACGTAGGGAAATCGATCGATAACCAACCTGTACGTTTCCAATAAGATAAGAAATTAGTAGCAACCCAATAGTGGAAATCAGAATTGCAAAGAGGCTCTCCCAAACGTACGAACTTGTTTGCAGACTGGTGCCAAAATTACTGCCAAACGGAAAAAAAAACTAGGGCTACTCAAGACATCAATACTATATTGAATACTCTGGAACGTCATAAAATTTTCGTTAGCTCAAAAAGCAAACCTTAGATTTAGGAGACCCCATCACCAAGAGTAAAAGAGCTTTGTCAAAAAATTTATCGGTCCGGTGTTACCAGACTCAATTCCGTTGGAAAACATTCCAAAATCAAATACCGTAGAATTTATGGGACTTGTGGGACAGAATTCAGTAAGCAATGTTGTGATATTGATTGGAACATTGTCATCGCAATAGAAACTTGGTTTACATCCTGCAGTATTTCTGCATGCCTGGTGCCAACAATCTGTTTCTCGTTGAATAGAGAAAAGGTACCAAAAGGCTCCAAGTATCTGAAAAAATCGCCAACAAACTATATGGTTAACCAATAAAAAGTGTACCACACCGAAGGAGAAAAGTAACAAAAATAGATCATCAAGAAAAAGAAAGGTATAAAGCTTAGAAAAAAAATATCAGTTAGGTAAATTGATATCCAATACTCCAATCGGCAAAAAAAGAGTAAATAGTGGGATGGTACAAAATATTTTTTATGATATTTATCCTAAGGGTTGAGAATTTGAAATAAGCTATAAATAATAGATCATTGATAATAAGTTGTTGTCACACAGTCTATACAAATCAGATCTGAAATTTCTCAATTGTAGTGCTAACAAATGTTTGAATTCTAGTCCAAGCTAAATCATTCATAAAAAGGAGATTATATTTACATATCTTAAATTATTTCTCTCATATTTTTTTAATTTTTTAATATTTTTCTATCAAGTGTTAATAATATATAAAAAATATTAAAAAATTAAAAAATTGTTAAAGAAGTAATTTGTAATGTGTAAATCTGTCTTCCTAAAACTAACATGTGACAACAGTGACATGAAGCTTATGACATCGAGATTAATTGTTGGACCATGTGGTTGGTGCTCTTATCAAGCTTATGACAGCAATCTTATGAGATGTGACATATGCAGCAAGCTTCTGAGATTGGTGGACCATTCATAAGATAACATGTGATATCTGACAGCAAGCAAATGCCGGCCATTATGGGGGTTCTGGTAATTTAATAGTAAAGATTCTAAATTGACATTCAGTGTTACGGTATAGTGGTATTTCTTTTTGCTTAGAAATGAAAGGTTTTAGGTTCAAATCTCGTGCATGGCAAATTCGATACCAAATTAAGCTGTTCATTGTGTGGCTTAATCAAACTCCGCCTACCCTTAATGTAAAAATATCGATGTATTAAAAAAAAGGGTAAATATCAGTTTACTACCCTTAAGTTTCGTGGTTTTCAACATTTGGTACATGAAGTTTTTTGTTTCAGAGTCATACCTAAAGTGTTTATTTTAGGACAGTTTCATATATCTGTTAGTCTGGCTGTTCAATTAGTCATTAAATGATGATGTGGCGCCCACGTGGACATGACTAGGCGCTGACAACTCTGATATGGAAGAAGAGGTGGCTGTGGGTGAGTGCACACCTGCCCATTCCCCTCTGTAGAAAAATCTGAGAGCACCCTCCATTCTCTCTGATTTCTTGGTGCACGACGATAGTCGTTTGATGAGTCGAACACGACAAATCGGAAACCCGAGGAACTTGGACCCAGATATGTGGGTACGGTTAATGGTTTGGAGCCAAATAAACCAGTTGAACCAGCCGGTGGGGAGATCGGGTCGGCCGAGTAGTCGAGTAATCTGGTGGTGGAGGATTCGTGCAATGGAAGTTCCGATTCGGTGGCTAAAGAAGCGGTGGGTATGGAGTCGGAGAAGGGGAACTCAGGCGAGTTGAGGGAATCGATGGCTAAGTCAAAGGGAGGGGAAGAAGGGACGAAGGAGAGTTGTGAAAGGTGCAAAGGTTGGGTGGTGCTCCCGAGGAGAAGGGAGGGAGAATGGAAGAAGGGTTGAGGAAGAAGACAGCTTTTTCTTTTTTTTTTTGTTTAATGTTTACTTTTTAATTTTTAATTATTTTTAATATCCATGTGGGACTCTTATTGATACGTGCTGCCCAGTCATTGTCCACTTGGGCACCATGTCATCAGTTAACGGAAGACTTAACAGTTTGACTAACAGATGTATTAGACTGTCCTAAAATTTACACTTTAGGTATGACTCTAGAACGAAGAAAACTTGATGTACTAAATATTGAAAACTACAAAACATGAGGGTAGTAAACAATCTTTTACCCTAAAAAAAAAAAAAAAAAAAAGCAAAGACCCTAAATTACTAGGTCAGCACTTTTCATTTAAAATTGAACAAGGCATTAGTAACCAGAATAGAAGCCATTAAAACAATGAAGAAAGTAGAAGAGATATGGATGAAACTTACATGACTAACAAGGATGTACAGAAAAAAATAGAAAGCACCTTTAATCCACACCGAAGTGTTTTTTCTAAACTTCCTATCCACCAGGTAAATTCCATAGAACATTGGCAAATATTGGACAAGAAGCAAGACATTCACAATCTTTATCTTATCCAAATATCTAGAGCCACCCATTTTGAAATAAACAGCTCCCATTAACACCTAAAAAAAAAAAAAAAAAAAAAAAAAAGACAAACTAATGAAAATGACTTGAAAATTTTGAGTTTTAACAATAAGGACAAAATAAAGAGTAAACTAAACAGTACCAAGATTGACCTTTTAGTGCAAAAATGTGGTTTTTTGTTAAAGTGAACAGTACTGAAAGCTTTTCGTTAAAATTCTCAAATAAATAATGAATTAGATTTTACTTTTTAACTTACAAATTTGACACACTTACTGATATAAAAATCTTACTTGTGGGATTGGAAGAACAGCGAGAACGTCAATTATGATGGAGGGCCATGACAACTTCTCAAATATTTTATGAAGACTTTCAAATAAATCGAAACACTTCGACTTCCAAGTAATTGCTTGTTCGTTGGGATGAGACTGGTGGTCTGGTGACGCTGATTTAATAGCTTGACGAATTTGAAGTGTAATATGCAGTATGTAAGTGATATCTATGAGTGATCGGAAAAGAAGAGCTAAAATCCTCAACTTCTTGTCCACTCCGAGGCACTTACTTTCGCCATCGATGATAGGAATGTACAAAAACAAGGGATCTATTGAGATTGCAACCATGCATGCAATTACAAATATCATATTCATCCATGGAATATTTTCTTCATGGTTTTTCTCCTCAGTGAGAGTAGAATTCACGGTTCGTCGAAAGCTGATATACAAAAGGCAAAAATCAAAGTCATTGGAGTTATAATAGTGAGGATGAGTGTAGAATACTGAGAGTATTTAAAGTGCAGAGTTCGATACCCTTCAATGTAACGAAAAAAAAGGAAAAATTAATAATTCGTGGAGAGGTTTATACTAATTCTCAAATGAACATAATTTTAACATAAGTACATCACCATAAAAACATTCTTGGAGAGGATCAAGTTTCACGAAGAAGAGACACCGCAAGAAAAGAAAAAGTAAATTCAGAGAAACTAACCTCAGTTTAATGTCGCGATCTTCCAGATCCTCATTACTAATATTCATTTTTTTTGTTTCTAGTACTCTGTTTGAACCAATCAACTCCCAGATAATGAAACGAAAAGAAGAAACGAAAACAATCAACAAACTAGAACTCGTAAGGCAGAATTGATTGGAGAAGTAGGGTACTCTAACTTTTAAACAAAAATTAGGATTCTTAGCCAGCTGCTAGAAACCAATATGGAAAAGAGCGTTGCACGGATTCAATTAACTTTATAACTTGCATTGTTCACATGTAATTAGGAATTAAAAACAAAGACTTAGTAGAGTTGACAAACTTCTTCTTGTCCATAATTAGTCTTTTCTTAATGTTTCTCCTTCCTTAAATGTTTCTTAACAACCATAGACTTCTCCATGTATGTAGTTAGTCTTTTCTTAATGTTTTATAATCCCTTAAATAATTCTTAACAACCATAGAATTGTCCATAGTCTTTTCTTAATGTTCTCTCCTTCGTTAAATGATTCTTAATAACGACAGACTTGTCCATGTGCTTGCAGCCATGAATCGTTCCAAGGATGATTGTTCATTATTGGGACCTATAATTAACAGCATCAAATGAGTTTTAGCAGAATCAAGTGTAACCGTTTATGTTACGGTGGCTATTTGTGCAGGACAATCTTTTTCCCTAAGATCGGGTTGAAATCCCAAGCAAGGTTTTTATTGAGGACCATTTTAGCACCCTATCTTGTGACGACCCGCCCCTATTTTCTTTGTAATTTTCTCCTCGAGTGTGTAAAGTGACGTTAATGCCCTGGTTGGCTAAGTGACATGGATGTACATATGCAGTTTTAAATTATTTTCTCGCTATCGTTGTTAAATTGGCCTCGACGTTACGAGTGCGTCAATACGAGTTAGACCCGAATTGAAGTCGTAACAAAAAGCTACGAATAATTAAAGTGCGCAAACAGGTAGAATTATTTTCATGGGTGCATTAATTAATTAGTGTTGGAGACACTGGTTTGGATAGAGTAAGCTAGATTACGTTTTTAAGAAACTGTATCGCTTTTCTCATTGAAACATTGACATGCCTATCCTTATCCAACAATTATTTTATTTCCTATTTTCTCTAATCCAATCAGATTATATCTCTCTCTTTCTTCTGCTTAATCAGGAACTCTCTCTCTCTCTCATTCTCGTATCTTCTTCTTCTTCTTCCTTCTTGCACCCGATCCACCACCACCACACTCTTACATCAAATCATCATAGATCGAACCTGCAAAGACCACCGTAGTGTTCATCTTGACCTCACGAACCCAGTCACACCACTTGATTGTCGAACGGACGAGTTTTGACTCGCCAGCTGAGAAGCTCCGATTCGATGCAATTTGCTCCTACATGATCCCAGCAAGGTTGCAAGGTTTTAGCACGTGGGGAAGCTTATATTCAACTCCATAAGGACCGTAGACTAAGTTTGGAGTGGAGTTGACGTCGGATCAAGTGAGTTCGAGAAGTTTCAGTTTTGGACGAATCTTTCGAGGGATTTTCAAGACATTTTCCATTTGATTTTAGACTCTCAAGAGGTACGAACTTGTTTTACTCCTCAAGAGCTTCAAATCCTTATAAATTTCATGGATTTTGGTTGAGAAATGACAAAGATATAAAGGTTTGAAAATTTTCCTAGAATCCGGTGAGATTTTCTAGAAATTGGCGAACGGGGAAGCGCACTGAAGAAGAAGGAGAATATTCCGTCAAAGTTGATGGAATATTCTGACGGCCTCAGGTAACTCCATTACTATTTAACATAATATTCCGTCTATTCTAACCGAATATTCTTAACGTTTGTTAAGGTTCCGTCGGCACGTGCACGTGCGTATGGCCATGGGTTGGACGGCGTGTTCGGCCTCCAGCCAGCGAGTGGTTTTCATGTACGGGTTTGTGACTGTGAGTAGATCATTTTCGTATATTCAAACCTTCCATTTAAGCAAACTATGAGAAGTTTACCCTAGATTTTGGTTTATGTGCTATTTTAATTAATTGGAAGTAGTTGTTTCGCATATAGGGAAGACCTACCCTGAGGATGAATGCAGAAAAGTGAGGCTAAGGGGTTACACCCTTCGATATATCAATGAGTGGGCATTTGTTTTCGTATGTGTGTGTGTGTGTGTGTGTGTGTATATATAAACTTTATTGTTTCCAGAAATGTTTTAAATTGATTTGTGCATAGCATGCCATGGTTTAAATGTGTTGTATTTTGAATGTTGCATTGTTATGAGTATGTGATTATGCCACATGATCCTACAAGAGGCGCAGGTAAGTTCAAGTGAATTGTTATGTAATGAAATGGTTGCATTATATAGGCATGCATTAATTCATTTAAAGTTCATCATTGCTGCATCCCGGTGTTAGTACTCCCACCCTGGGCCAGGGCCAGTCCTTCATGTCATGTTCACCTCCCGCACCACATACTCGCCTTGGATCCAAGTTTGGTGCTAGCCCTATCGTACAGGTCACATCAAGTGACTCTGACTCGTAGGTAACCCTGTGATTTATCACTAGCCTTCACATAATAGTAGCACTAGAGCGTACATATTTACACACAGCCCTACGGGTCACACTAGGTGACTCCGACTCGTGTGCAAGCATAGACTGATGAGCAATAGGTCCAGTCGTACAAGTCACATTAGGTGACTCCGACTGGCATGATAGTTTAGATTAATTCACACCTGACTTACATTTTTTGCCTGCTTACCCTTTTGTTTTTCGCCCTT